TTTCATTTCCCTAATGATTAATAATGTTGATTATCTTTTCATGAGCTTATTCATTTGTACATCCTCTTTGGAGATATGTGTATTTCAGTTCCTATTAGCATTTTCAATTGTCATTACTCTTTTTATTATTGTGTTGTAAGAATTCTTTGTATATATTACATACGTGTCACTTATGAGATATATGATTTACAAATAGTATCTCCCATTCTCTGGGATGCCTTTTCCCTTTCTTGATGGTATTTGCAGCACAAAAGTTTTTCATTTTGATGAAGTCCAACTTATTGTTTGTTTTTTAGTGTTGTATCTAAAAAGTCATTGCCTAAGCCAAAGTCATAAGGATTTATTCTTATGTTTTCTTCAAAGAATTTTATAGGTTTAGCTTTTATATTTAGGTCTCTAATCCATTATATTTTTTTTCAGATTTTTGTTTTGTCTTTACTTCATTTATAAGTTTATTAGTGATCAGAAAAAGAGTCTAATCCATTATGATTTAATTTTTATATATGGTGTGAGGTAGGGGGTCCAACTTTACTTTTATATGTGGATGACCACTTGTCCCAGCACCATTAGTTGCAAAGACTCTTCTTCCCCCATTTTGTTGTCTTGGCCCACTTGTCAAAAAGTCAGTTGACCATATGAGCACTCATTAGTAGAGTGCTTACCTATTGTATGCAAGGCCCTGAATTTGTTCCCTAGCACTAAAAAGCAGGGGGGGGGGGGGGGGGGGGGACAAAGAAAAAAATGACCATGAAAGTAAAGGTTCATTTCTGAACTTCAAATTGTATTTCACTCATCTCTGTCTAGTGTAATATGAGCACCACATTATTCTGATTATTGTAGTTTTATACAGATTGAGCATCACTAATCTGAAAAATTCTGAAAAACCTTAAATCCAGAATTTTTTGAGCACCAGTAAAATCAATGAAAATATTCCAAAATCCAAAAGTCTCTGAAATCTAAAACACTTCTGATTCTAAGCATTTTGGATAAGGGGTACTCAATCTGTAGTAAGGTTTAAATCAGAAGTGTGAGTTGAACTTTGTACTTATTTTTAAAGATTGTTTTGGCTATTTTTTCCATGTAAATTTTAGAATCAGCTTGTCAACTTGCAAAAAATGTCAACTGGAATTTAGTAGGGAATATGTTGACACCTGTATAGATCAATCTGAGAGCCACTGCCATCCTAACAATATTAAGTCTTCCAATCTTATGAACATGGAATATTCTATGTGTTTAGATCTCCTTTAATTTCCTCCAATAGTGTTTTCTACTTTTCAGTGGATGAGTCTTGGATTTATTTGGTTAAATTATTTCTAAGTATTTTATTTTTATGTTGGAATTGTTTTCTTTGTTTTTGAATCATTCATTTCTAGTACATAGACATATAACTGATTTTTTATGTAATGATCTGGTATTGTATAATCTTGATGAATTTGTTTTTTAGCAAATTCTTTGGAATTTTCTCTATACAGGATCATATTATGTTAATACAGATAGTTTCACTTCTTTTCTAATTTGAATACTTTTACTTCTTTTCCTTACCTGGTTGTCCTGGCTAGAACCTCCAGTACAATGTTGAATAAAATTGGTGAGAGTAGGTATCTTTGTATTTTTCCTGATCTTAAGGGGGATGCATTTTAGTTTTCTATCATTACGTATGATGTTAGCTATGTATTTTTTGTAGATGACACCCATTAGGTCAGGTAAGTTCCCTTTTATGCCTAGTTTGTTAGCTATTTTTATCATAAAAAGACTGATGGATTTTGTCAAATATTTTTCTGTATCTATTGAGATGATTATATAGTTCTTGTCTCTTTTTCTAGTAATATAGGGTATTACGTTGATATAAGGCAAAACTTGCATTCCTGAAATAAATTCTACTTTCTTGGTGTATAATTCATTTTGTATGTTGATAGTTGAAACTTGCTAGTATTTTGTTGAGGATTTTGCATCTATATTCATAAGAAGATATTGGTCTATAATTTTCTTGTGATCTTTGTCTGGTCTTGATATCAGGATAATGTTGGTTTCTCAAGTGGGCAATATTCCCACCTCTTTGATTTTTTAAAGATGTCATTAATGAGTGTTATTAATTCTGCTTTAAATATTTGGTGGAATTCACCAGTGAAGCCTTCTGGCTCTGGGCTTTTCTTGGTGAGTTGTTTTATTACTTCAGTCTTTTTACTTGTTATAGGCATGTTCATTTTTTCTGTTTTTTAGTTTTTGGTAGCTTGTATTTTTCTAGCAATTTGTTCATTTCATCTAGATTGTCTAATTTTGTTAGTGTACAATTGTTCATAGTATTCCCTTATAATTATCTTTCCCTTAGAAGGTGAGTAGTGATGTTCCCTCTTTCATTTTTGACTTTAGAAATTTGAGTCTTCACTTTTCTTGGCTAATCAATTTTATTGATCTTTTTCAAAAAAATAATTTTTTGTTGATTTTCTCTATTTTTCTATTTTATTTATTTCTGTCCCATTTATTATTCCCTTCCTTCTGCTTACGTTGGGTTTAGGTTATTCCTTTATTCTAGTTTTAAGGTGGAAGACTATATTATTAATTTGAGTGGGATCTTTCTTCTTTTTTTAGTATTGGTATTTATAGGCCTTTATAGCTATAGGTATTTTAGCTAATACAATACTGATAGGTATTAGTAGCTATAATATATGTATTTTAATGTAGGTGTTTATAGCTATAAATTTATAGGCATTTATAGCTATGAATTTTCCTTTAATCACTGCTTTTGTTAGATCCCATATGTTTTGGTTTGTGGTGTTTTAATTTTAATTCATGTTAAGTTATTTTCTAATTTCTCTTATGATTTCTTTGTCTTTTTTTTTTTTTTCCCCTTGTACTGGGGATTGAACCCAGGGCTTTGTACATGCTAGGCAAGTGCTCTACTGCTGAGCTATATCCCCAGACCATGATTTCTTTTTTCGTGCATTTGTTCTTTAAAATTGTATTGTTTAATTTTCTAAAATTTATGGATTTGTTTGTCATTAATTTTAAATTTCTCTATTTGGTGGTCAGAATAGATATTTTTAATAGTTTTGATCCTTTTAAATTAACAGTTAAGACTTCTATTATGGCCTAGCATAGGGTCTATTGTGAAAAATGTTCCACATGTATTTTAAAAGGACACATATTCTGGCTGGTTGCAGTGGTGCATGCCTATAATCCCAACAACACAGGAGACCTACAAGTTTGAGACCAGTCCCAGCAATTTATCAAGGCCCTAAACAACTTAGGGAGACCCTGTCTCAAAAATAAAAAGGGCTGGGGATGTGGCTCAGCTGTAAAGTACCACCAGGTTTAATCCTCAATACCAAAAAAAAAAAAAAAAAAGAAAAGCATATATATTTTGTGGGGGTGGAGTGTTTTATATGTATCTGTTAGGTCTAGTTGGTTTAGAGTGCTGTTCAAGTCCTAGATCCTTCCTGATTTTTCTCCTAGTTGTCCTATTCATTATTAAAAATAGAATATTGAAGTCCCTAACTATTAATGTTGCCTATTTCTTCAATTTTGTTAGTTTTTGCGGCTTATAGTTTTATGGCCAGCTGTTAGGTTAATATATGTTTAAATTTTTTTATCTTGATTGACTATTTAATCATTATGAAATATCCCCAATTAACACTTTTTGCTATAGAGTCTATTTTGGTCTACTATTAACATGGGCACTCTAGTTCTAATATTTCCTTTTTTGTTCCTTTCCTTTTAAACTCCTTGTATCTTTAAATATAAAATATGTCTTCTGTATAAAACATATAGTTGGATCTTGTTTGTTTTGATTTGTTTGTTTTGTTTTGATTTGATGAATCTATTCATATTATTGGTATAATTGGATTTGTACCTGCCATTCTGCTTTTTTTAAAAATATATAGTCAATCTTTCATATCCAAGGGTTTCACATCAAAAACAAAAAAAGGTTAAATCTGGAGATGGGGTATAGCTCAGTGGTAGAGTGTTTGCCTAATGTGTGAGACCCTGGATTCAATCCCCAGTACTGCCAAGAATAATAAAAATAAAAATAAATCTCTTCTGACCATATACAGATTTTTTTATTGTGATCATTACCTAAGTAATAGAGTATAACAACTATTTACATGGAATTTACATTAAACTAGATATAAATAAAATAGAGATAATTTGACATATATGGGAGGCTTTCACAGGTTATATGCAAATAATAGATCATCTTATATAAGGGACTTGAACATCTGTGGATTTTTGTATCCATGGGAGATCCTAGAACCAATCCTCCCTGGATACCAAGGGACAACTGTATATCTTATGACAATTTTGTTCCTCTGTTTCTTCTTTATTTTAAATTTATTTTTGTAAATCTTCTGAGAAGTTTGAATCCAGATGGTTAGCTAACTATGCTAGCCCCATTTAAAAAAATTGTCTCTTTCTACTGAATTGTAATACTTCTGTTGTCATATGTTATTCTAATATATAGTTTGATATATATGAAATTTCTGTGATTTTCTACTCATATATGTCCTCTCTTATGTCAATACCTATTGTTTTGTTTTAGTAACTTAATGGTAAATTTTAGTATCTGATGTAGCCTTTTTATTTTCCTATCTCAAGCAATTGTTTATGTGAATCTTTGAAATCCAAGAGAAGATACTATTTGCAGTCCTTTTAAAATTTAAACACTGAGTTGTGGCTCAGTGGTAGAGCACTTGTCTCGCAAGTGTGAGGCACTGGGTTCAATCCTAGCACCACATAAAAACAAATAAAGGCATTGAGTCTATACACAACTAAAAAAACAATAAAAAAAATTAACAAAAAGCATGTGTGTGTATATATACTTGTGTGTGTATATATGTATATATGACATGTACATACCATATAAATACATATATTCACCATGGTATGTGTAAATTTAGGCAATTCATTTAAAAAAGAAACTAGTAAGTAGTAACAGCACATTAAAATGAAACAGAAGATAATTGTTCATGTAACTTTCATTAATTATTGTTTTCTCAACATAGGGTACATACTATGGAAACTAGTGCCATCAGGATATTAAAAGAGAGAATAATTTCACGAAAAACTGACCTCATGCATGCTTTCCAACTTCGAGACCACAGTCGATCAGGTAATAAAATTATATAATGCTTACCATTTCTTAACATATCATGTTACTGTATGTGACATGTATCAGTTTTCATTTTCTTTGCTTCCTTAGGATTTCAGTTCTCTATTTTTGCTAGAATGGAATGATAGAGATAAAAATTTTTAAAATCCATTATTCTCTCAAAAACAGGCATATATCTCATTTTCAGTAAGTTTCTTTTAACTAAAAATATCAAAAACAATCCTGATTTAGACTACTATTCTGGTGAAAGGAAATAGCTAGATGCTGGAGGGGGCATAATTTTAATGCATTTATCAGCCTCCCAGTATGGTAAACCTTCTGGCTGCATTTCCATTCTTTTTGAACCACATGAGGGATCATGGAGCAACATTCAAGCATAAAAGGCTGGATTGTCCTGGGGCAAATGCTAATGTGGTGTAGCAATCGATCCTGACATTAAACTATTGTATAGTAGAAAGGTGGAAAGGTGGAATTTGGAACTTCCACATTGTGCTTGTACCCTCAAAGTGATTCTGGGTAGTTGTAAGTATGTACTGTTTCTGATTCCTGTCAAGAAGATCCATCTTTGAGGGAAGAATCCCTAATTTTATCCACTAGTATATCTAGAGATTAAGATTAGCCAATATGGGCTGGGGATGTGGCTCAAGTGGTAACACACTTTCCTGGTATGTGCGAGGCACTGGGTTCGATCCTCAGCACCACATACAAATAAAATAAAGATATTGTGTCCACCTAAAAACTAAAAAATAAATATTAAAAAAAAAAGATTAGCCAATATGAGTTTACAATCAAAGATTACCAAACAAGGAGATGAGCTACCGTGAGTGAGAGTCAGCAGAAATAAACAACAATAGCTTTAGTTCCCCCAAAGACATCAGATATTGAAATTATCAAATACAGAATATAAAATATTTGAAGAAATAAAAGATGGAATCACAAACATGCATTGAAAATGATTTGAACTGATAAGAACAGATACTACACTTGATCTTAGCCAAAAGGCCGAAAGGCATCAAAATAGGAAAAGAAGAACTTAAATTATCACTATTTGCAGATGACATGATTCTATACCTAGCAGACCCAAAAGGGTCTACAAAGAAACTATTAGAGCTAATAAATGAATTCAGCAAAGTGGCAGGATATAAAATCAACACGCATAAATCAAAGGCATTCCTGTATATCAGCGACAAATCCTCTGAAATGGAAATGAGGACAACCACTCCATTCACAATATCTTCAAAAAAAAATAAAATACTTGGGAATCAACCTAACAAAAGAGGTGAAAGACTTATACAATGAAAACTACAGAACCCTAAAGAGAGAAATAGAAGAAGATCTTAGAAGATGGAAAAATATACCCTGTTCATGGATAGGCAGAACTAACATCATCAAAATGGCAATATTACCAAAAGTTCTCTATAGGTTTAATGCAATGCCAATCAAAATCCCAACGGCATTTCTTGTAGAAATAGAGAAAGCAATCATGAAATTCATATGGAAAAATAAACGACCCAGAATAGCAAAAACAATGCTAAGCAGGAAGTGTGAATCAGGCGGTATAGCGATACCAGACTTCAAACTATACTACAGAGCAATAGTAACAAAACCAGCATGGTACTGGTACCAAAACAGGCGGGTGGACCAATGGTACAGAATAGAGGACACAGAAACCAATCCACAAAACTACAACTA